GCTGTGGATTTTGAGGCAGAAGACAACAGGATAAAGTATCATTTTAGTAACACTGCTTCATAATGATTTATCAACATCATTAATGTTGATGTTGGCCTTGGGCTCTTGGCTGAGGTCATATTTGTCAGATTTCATTGCAATATAATTACTTCCCCCTTCCTTTTTCTGTGCTGTACTCTTCAGAAGAAAATTCCAATCCACAATCCACATTTAAGGAGCAAGGAGTTATGCTTTAGCTCCTTGAGGGTATCTGTATGAATTACTTGGAATTCTTGGCCGGACGTGGTGGCACATACCTGTAATCCCTCCACTCATGAGGCTGAGGCAGGAGGATCACTGCAAGTTCAAGGTCAGCCTGAGCTACATAGTGAGTTCAAGGCCTGAACTACAAAGTGAAACCCTGTCTCAAAAAATAAATAAATAGGAATTCTTCTGTATGGGAGGTTTTTCTTTTCTCCTGTATTTATTTATTAAATCACTTGTTTGTATTGACACGTACTGCTACCTATTTTATTCTTTGGGTAATAACTCAATACATCTTTATTTTGATGTACAAATTGCTTCAGCTTTGGGTATTGGGAGCTCTTTCAAGTGACATCTGTGTCTCTTTGGTGTACCCACACTGATGAGGGGATTTTCTTTCTGGCTTTTTTTGTGTGTGTGTATGAACACTTCCCCAGTTTCTAACACAAGCTGCTCCAGGCTCGTCTTAAATTTTGTTTCCTGCCCCAGTCCTAGAATCAGCCATTTCTCCAAGGAGCCCAGAGGTGGCTCCTTTTAGTACAAGGTGATTACTCACCTTATTTCAGGATGAAAGTCCTGGTACGTACAAATTATATTATTTAATTGACAACTTTTCAGGATATTTTGCTAACAGCTAGACTCAGCTATTTTGAAAAGTATACCTAACTTTAAAAAGTTTCTAGTCAGGCTTCATTCTGGCAGCATGTGAAAAGAAAAATATCTTTTTTCCACCCTTCTCATAAAAGAAGGTCATTGTAGATATTGTAGGTGTTATAAGGATTTTGTCTTCTTGAGACAAAGTTTTGCTATGTAGTTCAGGCTGGCCTCGAACTCACAGTGATCCTCCTGCTTCAGCCTCGCTAGTGCTGGGATTACAGACATGTGCTACCATGCCCTGACTAGGATTTTGTAAGAAAGACCGACAGTGGAAAGTTTACCAGAATGGGACAGCAAAATTCTGTTAGTACAGATGTAGCCGCTGCATCCATATACCCTTGGTCAAGTGTCTCTTATACTCTTTTGGCTTCATTTTGGTGGTACACATCTGCATCTGTAATCCCAGCACTATGGGAAGGTGAGGCAGGAGGATCCTAAATTCAAGCCTAGCCTGGGCAACTCAGTGCCTTAGCAAGTCCTTGTCTAGGAGTATAGCTCAGTGCAATGGCCCTGGATTCAGTCCTCAGTACCAGAAAAATCATATGAGTCTGAGCCAATTTCCAAAGTTCCATGCAGCTCTAACATCCATGCTATTACTAGCAGCAGCACGTGCCAGGGATATAGCTCAATGGCATAGCACCTGCGTGGCAAGTGCAAGGTCCTGAGTTCGATTCCCATACCAAAAAATAAGAAATAAATAAAATGAATACTAGCAGCAGCAGTGCTACCTGTAGGATGGCAGTAGCTCTAAGGAGTGCAGGGTGGGAAGTAAGGCGGGAATGGACGTGTATAAGGTGCAGCAGTAAAGTGCAGACTTGGAGAGTTCAGGGGAGAGGCATCACTAATAATCATATTAAATATTAATAATAGTAAAGTCTTAATCTTGACTTTTTTTTTCTTTTTGAGACAGGGTCTCGCTAGATAGTTCAGGCTGGCAGTGAACTCGCTATGTAGCCCAGACTAACCTCTGACTCACAGCGATCCTCCTGCCTAAGCCTTCTGAATGCTGGGATTATAGGCATGTGCCACCATGCCCAGTTTAAAGTTGATTTCAACTGTTTGAAATCCATGGCTGATTGTGCTTTAGGCTCTCAGGCATGACTGCACCTTGGCATCATGCAGAACACTTCCAGAACTCCTGTGGCCTGGGCCCCAAAGCCAGCAGTTCTGATCTACTTGGTTTGTGGCACAGCCTGCACAGTGAGAGTTTCTTAAGTCTCTTCCTTTACTCCCAAGTCCCCAGGTGACTAATAGCAGCCGAAGTTGAGAATCTCTGCTGTAGGCTATGAAGGCTCTTAGTCCCTCCCCAGTATAATGCATAGATCAGAGCCCCTTGGACATAGCAGTTGGTGAATTGGATTTGGAGAGTGTATTAGTTTGCTATTGCCGCTGAAACAAATGGCCCAACCTTAATGGCTTAAAACAGCACAGATTTAATCTTTTATATTTCTGGAGGTCAAAAGTCCAAAACAGGACAAGATAGGCTAAAGTCAAGGTGTAGCAGTGCTGCATTCATTTTGGCTTTCTCTAAAGGAGACTCGTGTCCTTGATTGCTGTAGCTTTTGGGGATGCCCACCTTCCTTGACTCATGGCACCACATCACCCCAATCTCCTTTCTGTCATCTTTCTCTGACTCTGACCCTCTTGTCTTGTATATTGTTTGCTTGTAACTATATGGGCCTTCAAGGATAATCTCCCCATCTCTAAACCCTTAATCACATTTGTGAAGTCCCTTTGGCCCTGTAAGGGAATATATTCACAGGTTTCAGGAATTGGGACGTGGACATCTTTGGGGAGGCATTATTTTACCTACCACCAATAGAGACAAAGCAACTGCTGTGATTATGGGGCCATAAATAGGATTAAATTGCCCTGTGATATGTGGCATCTCTTTACTGTGCCTTTCTTCTTTTAGCTGTGTTCGAATTTAATCAGAGACCATCCCTGTATAAAGTTATCCACCCTAAAGTGAAAATTAAAATATGAAAAAAAAAAAAAAAAAGTGTAGAGCCTGGAAGCAACAGGATAAAGCACAGATAGATGCATATTCAAGTGATTCAGTAAAAAGGCAATGCAGAACTGCAGGTGGACACAGTGAGTTTTAATGGGTACGTGGAAGTGTTCATTTGCTGTGGCTTGGAGTGACTGGCGTCCCTGTTCTGGGGTTCCCTGTCTCCTCCCATAGTCCCCAAGCCTGGTTGTGCTATGCTGCAGCTGGCACCTCCACATCCACATGCTCCCTATCTCCTGGATGGAGTGTGAACTGTCTGATAACACAGGTGCCCCAGCCAGGGCCAGATGTTTGGGGCAAGGAGAGACGGCTAAGCCACAGAGAAGGGTCCGAAAGATGTGGTTTTAGGAAGTAAATTTGTTAGCACTGAATGTACCTGCCGATCCCTGCCAGTTGGCAGAGGACCTTCTTACACAAGGCCTGCAGGCAACACGTCTTTCTCCCTGCAGACTAGTCTGACCCTCACACCGGGTCTAGGGTGCCCAGTTTCCTTCTCCCGCGGGTTGTTCTTTCCAGCTGCTTTCTGTCTTGCAGGATAGCAAGGTCTAGCCAGCCGCCTCCTTCCCCACTGAGATGGTGAAGTCCCTGCTGCTGAGAACTCTCTCCTGCCAGAGCTTGGCCTTATCTATTGCCATGGCGACAACCAGCTGCTGCTTAGCACCAGCATGGAGACGGGGCACAAAAAAAGGGTAGCTAAGGGGGTTACAGTGCCTACTGGGACTGCCTGGCACTCCTGGGGGCCTGAGGGGCAGAGAAGGCCCCTCTGGGGACTCCTGGAAGTCTTTGACAGGTTTGTTCTCTCAGGGAGGAGCCATGAAATTTGAAACATCTAAACTCAAATCCTCCTCACAGGAATCGGAATTTATAAGATAAAAGTTCCTTTACCATGGCTGTTCCGGTACTTACCCACACTCGCATGCACACACTCTCACGTTGACGTGCACTTTCTTCTTGTACTTGACCAGCATGGAGACTTGACTATATTGGCCCTCAAGGCTGTTAGAGAGCAGGGAGTGTGCATCTAGCTGGGCCTGCTGAGGCTGTAAGACCTGCTCTTTCATGAAATGGCTTAGAACTCAAAACTTCAGGAGGGGCGCAGTGGTGCATGCCTGTAATCACAGCTACTCCAGAGTTCTGAGGCAGGAGGACCAGATGTTCAAGGGAAGTGTGGACAACTTAGTGTAAACCCTGTCTCAAAATAAAAATAAAGAAGGACTGAGAGTGTAGCTTAGTGAAAGTTCTGGGTTCAGTCCCCAGGACCGGAAAAATAACAGCAAAAACTTCACAGTTCCTATGTGATGTTAGACAAATTGACTGTTAGTAATGGCAGATAATATTTATTGTTGGGCTACAAACTGAGTTCAAGGCCAGCCTGAACTGCACAGTGAAACTTTGTCTCCAAAAAGAAAGAAAGAAAGAAATACTCTTCACACTGTAAGGGTAGGAGAATGGGGGGAAAATGAAGTTATATCATGCACAGGCACAAATTCTCTATGATGAATGTGATCATTATGTATATCTAAAATGTACCAATAAATTTAATTTTAAAAAATACTCTTTTGACATTATTTTATTTAATTCTCACAGTGATCTTATTAGATGTAGCTGTTTGTTCCTAATTCACACTTCCAGATATAGAAACTAAGGCTCAGAATTTGTCCCACATGAGGTGTAGTCTCTCTCACCCTGAAGCCCATGTTTTTGTGTTCTGGAATATTTTTGGGGTGTTAAAGATTGAATCCAGGGCCTTGTACATGCACTCTACCACTGAGTTAGACCTGAGCCCCTGGAAGCCCACCTTTTAAATCACTGTTCTGTATTAAACTTGTATGGCTTTAAGTTCCTCGTCTGTGAATGGGGATAATATCTGCCTCACAAGATGATTGTGTTGCAAGGATGTTATGAGATAATGCTGGGAAAAGTATTCACGGAGGCAGAGCCCTGCTGTGTTATCAGCATTAATACTGGGGGTCACCCCTGGGCCCAAGCATAATTGCTCCCTCCTGTTCTCCTGGAAGGGTACAGTGTTCAGGGCTCTCTGACTTGCAAAAATCTCAAGGCTGGGTCTGCTCTTTCCCTGTTTCCACAGGTGATTTCCATGGTGATGGTGGCTGTGGGTGTCTACGCCCGGCTGATGAAGCATGCAGGTGAGCTCTTGTCTCCTTCCACCTCCCGAACTGCGGCCAGGCCCACTCCCCTCTGCCTCTTCCAGCCCCAACCCTGTCTCTTCCTGCTCTCTGGAGCCTGAGCTCAGTGGTCTGCCCCATCTGACCAGCCTGCTCATGCCAGCGTGTTTGCATTCCCAGAGCTTCCACGTGTCTTCCAAGATATTCCTACCTTTGAAGCTTAGGAAGTGTCAGAGAGAAGCTTGGCCTCTGGGAGCAGAGAGCAGTCCAGGGCATGACCCTGCCTAGCTCGTTTTGGAGTCACTCAACCTCCATTCCCCTTCCTCCGCACAAAGGCCCCCAGAAACAGTCTCCACACAGGTGGCGAGCCCAGAGCCCAGCGGCCCCTCCTCTCATAAGCCTGGGAATGAAAGCTCTGACTTTGTTTGTTCATCAAGTTAAATGCCACAACTCCTCCCGGGCACTGCCTGCACATAACCTTCACACTGGAGATCCCCCACCAAGAGAAGCATAGATTGGGGACACCCTCTCGCCCATCCCTGGGGGCCCCCTCAGTGGGCACCGGGCACAGACAGAATGGGCCCTCCCTCAGAAGCAGCCTTGGCCTGCCTGGCGGTGGATCCTGCCATCCTGCTCATCGTGGTGGGTGTCCTCATGTTCCTGCTCACCTTCTGCGGCTGCATCGGGTCCCTGCGCGAGAACATCTGCCTCCTACAGACCGTGAGTGGAAGGGCCTCCCCGGGGTGCCAGCTGGTCTCCTGATGCCATTCCCACAGGCTTCTCATTTCTTCTGTCCCACCCCTCACTGAAGTGCCCTGGCCCCAAGTACAGTGACAGGGTGGCCACTCTCAGGAAGTCCCAGTTGGAGGCATCTAGGAGATGAGCCCAGCACCCCCTACATTTCCCATGGCCCTGGGAGCGCTGCTGCCCAGAATGGTAACAGTCGGCCTCCTTTCCCGCCTGCTGCTGCAGTTCTCCCTGTGCCTCACCATCGTGTTCCTGCTACAGCTGGCTGCTGGGGTCCTGGGCTTCGTCTTCTCAGACAAGGTAACGTTGGGAGTCAAGGGACCTCTGTGGAACCAGAGGGAGGGAGGGGAAGTCCCTGCTAGTGTCTAGCCTGATTAATTAACCACAGCAATCCTTCCTCTGAGAAATAGCAACCTTGGGAAGGTTCTCCTTAGGGATGAGTGAGCGGCCTTTAAAGTCACCATATGTAAGGAGAATTTCACATTTGTAAAGTGTTTCCTCTGACAGTCTGAGAGACCAACAGGGAAGAGACTTCTGTAAACAGGAAATTAAAATAACCTGCAACTTTAATGGTAAATAACTAAATAAAAACTCATTGATCAGGTGGACCAGAGACAACACACAGAGCCTCTTATTTCCTTAGAAATTGTTGAGATAACAAGGAAAGGAAACATGACGTGAACAGTGTTCAGCGTACCTGGAGGTAGTCTGCCATGCAGCAACAGTCCTTTTAATTAAGAACCAGGATTCCTTTCCCACAGGGCAGATGATTACCTATGACAAGGTGTAGACTGTGGAAGAAAATTGTGAGAAAAGTAGTGGAGCAGAAAGACAACGTGCTGGAAAATTATGAATTTGAGAGCTGTTGAATCAATTCAAAATTTTCTAGTCCTTGTGGTTTAAAATCCTAAAATGATAGAAATGTGTTGAGTCTAAAAAGATGCAATTTTCTTATGTCCACTAGAGGTCAGCGCTACAGTTTGGCAAACACTTTTCTGTTAAATTACTTTCTCCATTTTGCACCAGTCAATAAATATTTTGTGGTAATAGTATACAAAGGTAGATAAACACTGGATTATCTAGAAATGTATCTCTGAGAAGCAGTGACAGTAGGTTTAGCATTTCTCTTGCTCACTGGTATCTGAGGGCCAAGGGCTTTGGAACTGGCCATCTTCCCTCATTAGGAGTTGGTTCTGATTTCTCAAGGCTGATTCAGATGAAGAAGGATGATCTGAGCTAGACATGGTGGTGTACACCTGCAATCTCAGCACTGTAGGAGGCTGAGGCAGGAAGATTGCAAATTCAGACTCTGCTTGGGCAATTTAGCAACTTAGTGAGACCCTGCCTAAAATAAAATAAAATAAAATAAAATAAAAGGGCCTGGGATGTAGCTCAGTGTGAAGGCTCTAGGTTCGATCTCCTCTGCACCATAAAAGGGGGATAACCTTGATCTGACCTATGACACCTCTCCCCCAGCTCCGGGGAAAGATGTCCTAGTATTTCCTAGGGACCTAGAACTTTAAATTAACCCCTCTCCCGTTTTGATGTTAGGAGTAGAGGGCAGGTATCCTTTCTCTCTTTTCTAGGTGTCTGTTGATGAGGGGAAAGACTGTTGTCATGGTGCCACCATCAGACTCAGATTCCTCCCTCCTTATCTCATATGTACAAGGCAGGGTGCTTGGGGCTGGGCCTCCATTCACCTAAGCTGATAGGGCTCCTCAAGGGTAAGGGTGTACATGAATGCATGTTGGGGAGTTTTGCTGGTAGGTTAGTTGTCCTCAGAATGTTAGAGAAATATCCAGTGTGCAAAAAGGAAGTTGGAATGGGAGGTGGTGGGCAGTGAATGACTGATGGAAGGATCCGTACTGGGGCAGTAAGAAGGGGCCTGGAGCCATGTGGCAATGCTGTTTGGTAACTGTTGGTGTGCGCCCGGAGTGGGATGGGAGAGGAAGCCAAGCTTGTGCCAGGCTGCTTGGAGTTTGCTGTAGAGGTGAGAAGGGCTACCCTGGGGCTCTGGCCACGCCACTGTGTACGTGGAGAGTGCCCTCCTGACTACCATAACTTCTACTGTGACAACAAGCAGGAAAAATAAAAAAAATGTGATTCCTGTCTAGTGTCACCTCTGCAGGGAGGAATAAGTGAGGGATTCGTTCTGGGTCCTGATTCCCTTTGTGTGTCTCTGCAGGCTCGGGGGAAGGTGAGTGAGATCATCAACAATGCCATTGTGCACTACCGAGATGACTTGGATCTGCAGAACCTCATTGATTTTGGCCAGAAGAAGGTATGGGCTCAGTGTGGTGGAGTCAGCAGGGCCTGGGGCTGTGGGTAATGATCAGAGTCCTTCCGGGAGGTGCTTTACCCTCTAGGGCTTTCCCACAGGCCTCTTCATTACTTGGTAAGTAATTTGTACACTCTGGTAATAGGTTTGGCAAAACACACACACACATGCATGGAGTTCTTTAACATTTCTTTATGGCTACAGAATTGTATATATAGTAATCTACCATTTATGTAAAAAAAAGAGTGGGGGAGAGTATATATTCATATTTGCAAAAGAATTCTGAAACGATCTATATGTGGACCATTGTAAGTGATTGCCCATAGCAGAATGAGAAACCAACTAATTATTGCTTTGTTTTTTTTCTGTTTCTTGGGATTGAACCCAGGCCCTCACACATGCTATGCCAATGCTCTACCACCGAGCTACATCCCCAGCACCCCAACCTTTTTTTGAGACAGAGTCTCATTAAGTTGCCCAGGCTAAGCTTGAACTTGTGACCCTCTTGCGTTACCCTCCCAGAGTGCTGGGGTTACATATATTCACTGCCATGCCTGGCTCCATCTAGTCAAAAGTTACATTTATAAAATTGTGGTCAATATACATAACATGAAATTTAGTCTTTGTTTTGTCATGCTAGGAATCAAACCCAGGGCCTCATGCATCATAAGCAAGCACTGTACTACTGAATTTACCATCTTTCAGTGTACAGACCTGGGTTATCAAAACCATTCACATGTGCAACCATCCCCACCACCCATCTCCAGAACTTTTTATCTTCCCCAAGTCAAACTCTGTATCCACTAAACATCTACTCTCATTTCCTTCTTGTCCTGGAAATCATTCTTCTTTCTGTTTTTGTGAATTTGACTTCTCTGAGTACCGCATATTGATTAATGGGACCATACAGTATTCATCCTTTTGTGACTGGTTTATTTTCCTTGGCATGTCTTCCAACCACATTGTAGCATGTGTTAGAATTTCCTTCCTTTTATGAGTATAAAAGGAACTCTCGGGCTGGGGAATATAGCTCAGTGGCATAAGCGCCTGCCTGGCAAGCACAAGGTCGTGAGTTCGATCCCCGGGACCGCCACCCCCCCCAAAAAAAGGAACTCTCCTTACCTTGTTGGTAAACTAACAATAGAACCATTATGGAAATCAGTATACAGATTTCTCAAAGAATTAAGATTAAAAATTCTATTTGACCCAGTGATTCTCCTTCTAGGTATCTTCCCAAAAGAGTTAAAGATATCATACTACAGTGATACATGCATACACATGTTTATGGCAGCATAATTCCCAATAGCTAAACCCTGGAAGCAGCCTGCATGGCCAGTAATAGACTTAAGAAAATGTGGTATCTACTACTACATGGCTATAAATGTGTGACATTTGTAGGAAAATATATGCACCTGGAAAATGTAATATTGAGTGAAATAAATCAGACATACAAGCTTAAATACCGTATGGTATCTCTATTTGAGAAAGGCAAAGTACAAAGAGAAAAATAAAGATAGATAGAAGGAAACAAGGAGACAGATCTCTTGCACATAGGGAGGAGCCCAGCACGCTGAGGGTGAGGGGGCAGGGGAAGGGGAAGTACGGTTTATGATTTATCATGTACAGGTACAAAATATTCTCAATGAATGTAAACATTTTATGTTATAAACATGAGCTAAGAATAACAGTCTCAACAAGGATGAAAAGACTGAGTAATATTCCAATGTACATAAGTATCACATTTTGTTTATCCATTTATCCACTGATGGGACTTAGGTTGCTTCTACCTTTTGGCTACTGTGAATAATGCTGTTATGAATCAAAAGCTAAATTCTAAATAAAGGTACTTTGAGGGCAGTGCTGAGTTCCCCCGCCTACAGTGCAACAGACACTGGACTGGGATCCTATTTGCTTTCAAGGAGTAACTATGGACTCAGAATACTCAGAATACATAGAAGGTTCCCTTCTTGTGTTTTCTTTATCTTCAGTCAAAGTTTTAAAGCACTTATCTTTTAATTATTTCAGCCAGTATTGTTGACTCTTTTGTTACTTTTTGGTGTTGCTGGGTTTGAACCCCGGGTCTTGTGCATGCTATACTTATGCTATCCCACTGAGCTATATCCTGAGCTCTAGCCAGTATTTTTTTTTTTTGGTACCGGGAATCAAACTCAGGACCTTGCACTTGCCAGGCAGGCACTTATACCCCTGAGCTACATCCCCGGCCCGCTCTAGCCAATATTTTTGAACACCTCCTTTTATCCGACTCTGCTGTGCAGAACTACAAAGCCAGAACTTTCTCTACCTTCTCTAAGGAGTATAGTTGAATATGTAAATTTAAAAATATGTATACACACATACACACAATTGTAATATCCAGCACTGTGGTAAGTTATAACAAGATATAGGGCTGGGGTTATAGCCCAGTGCATAAGCGCCTGCCCAGCAAGTTCAAGGTCCTGAGTTTAATTCCCAGTACCAAAAAACAAACAAACAACAACAACAAAAAAACTGTAACAAGGTATAAAAAGTAGGAGAAATTAAGAAGAAAAACTTTCTTCAGGTGAAAGCAACTGGGAGACTTGAGATCAAGCTTCAAAGTTCTGTCGGGGTAAGGGGTGGGCGATTCTTAAGTTTGCCATGGACTCTGTTGCAGTTCAGCTGCTGTGGAGGAATTTCCTACAAGGACTGGTCCCAGAACATGTACTTCAACTGCTCAGACGATAACCCTAGCCGTGAGCGATGCTCTGTTCCTTACTCCTGTTGCTTGCCTACCCCAAACCAGGTGAGCAAACATTCCTCCTAATTTCTTTCTAGGTAGTGTTCTAAGTTACCTTCTTGCCCATTTTATAGCTTAAGCAAGCAGTTTTGTCGGACAGGTCTTAGATGTTTTTCTTCACCTTAATCTGATGACTCTGTTAACTTTTCACTCCTGTAGCCTATGTAGGGGTTCAGAAAAGGCAGACCTAAAGAACAGAGAACCACACCTCAGCTTCCCAAGGAAAGGGAAGTGTGCATGTAGCAATTTCCGGACCAGCATCTTCCACAGATACTCCAACAATTTCAGAGTTTAGGAAGGGTGGGAAGCCCTTCAGCTATGGTCCAAAACAAGAAGTTACTGGCATGGGAGACCCATTTGGCTTTTCAACTCTTTCTCCAGGCAGTGATCAACACTATGTGTGGCCAAGGTATGCAGGCTCTTAAATACTCGGAAGCTAGTAACGTCATCTATACCAACGGCTGTATTGACAAGTTGGTCAACTGGATACACAGCAACCTATTCTTACTTGGTGGTGTGGCACTGGGGCTGGCCATCCCCCAGGTAACTTACCCTGTACAACTTGTAGGTCCCACAAACTCTGCAAAGACTCCTTTATTTAGGGGAGGGCACTTGGGGACCAGCTGTGGTTTCCGGGACTGACTTTGAGGGGTAGAGGAAGGGATGCTGCTTACCTCACTGGGAAGACTGAGTCAGGGGAAGCAGGGGCATCACTCACTGCTGAGCTCCCACTTCCTTCTCGCCCTTCTCAGCTGGTGGGAATCCTGCTATCCCAGATCCTTGTGAATCAGATCAAAGATCAGATCAAGCTACAGCTCTACAACCAGCAGCACCGGGCTGACCCATGGTACTGAGAATCCACCCTGCACCTCCTCACCATGGCAACAGGCAAGCCTCACTGACCAGCAGCAGCTGGGTGCTGAGAACAGCACCCAAGGAGATTTGGATTCCAGCTCCCCGGCAGTCATGGCCCACTGGGACGAAGCAAACTCTGGATGCACAGAAAGAAGGGAGGGTGTGCAGGGGGCTCAAGTCTCAGAGGATGTGCCTCCCTCCCCCATCCTAGCCCTCAGCATTGTTAAGAGAGTTATTTTGTGTTGTTTCTAACCTTCGGTGTTTGGGTTTACATTTTTAAATTTTGTGTGGGGAGAGAGGTTTGGGAAACACCAGTGGTGCAGCTTTGCGGGGGTACTAGCTGCTGCTTTTTCACCAGGGCAATACAGCCAACAGTTCTGTTAGGGCTGCCACCGAGCTTGGTGGACATACTTCGATTCTGCTACCAGCAGGACCTGCCTGTGAAGACCAGATACCACAGCGCTGCCGGGAGTCCAGTTGGCATGATACCAGCCCCAGAAGAGAAGGGAGTGGGACCAGGCAAGAGGGAGCCCGGGGGTCAGCCGGGGACAGCTGTGTGTATTGGGTAGGAGTGGAAGGAGATATGTTTACCCAATGCCTGTCCTCCCAGGTAGTCGGAGTGAGCTACATCCTGCACCTCCCTCATTTCCATGGTAACATGGCAAGGGATATAACAGCAGCCAAATTCATCCCCACCCCACACCCTCCTAAAAGTTTAGAACCATGATCCCTATACTCTGCAGCCAGCAGAAGTCGGGCTGAGCCATACATGTCCTTGAATTCCTGTATGAGGCCCTCCCTCGCCAAAAAGTGGGATTTTCTTGGCAGTGCGCAGAGGAGAGGTAACACCCCCGCCCTCTGCAGGAAAACTCAGTGTTTCTATAGTGTAAGAAGCAGGAGTCCTGCTGGGGGTAGGGGTGCCAGGTTTGGCAATAAAAAGCTTGTTGACCTGGGCTAGGCTGGCCTCCATGAATTTTCCATTCTGGAAATTAGAAGGGGAGAATCAGAAGGGTCCAGCAGGCGGGCGCTGCCTCCAGGAGAGAGCCGAGATTCCTGTAAAGGCCACAGACTTCTGTGGCCCCGCATGGCCCATCTACCTCAGCTTCGCCCTTCTGGGCCTAAATTAACACGAAAGATGTCCAGTGCTGATCCATCTGTAAACGGTGCGATTTTATCCCAAAACCCGACGAGATTTTTTGTTTGTTTCCAAATGGAAGCGGATCAAAATTACTCTGCCACCGAGAATTTAGGATGGAGGTAGGGAAGGCAGGCTAGGCAGGCTAAGAGCACCCTCCGCCTGGGGTAGGGTTTCCCTTATCTCCCATGAGGAGGAAGAAGGCCGTCTCGTCTCTGCAGTCTGGCCCGCTGGTGGCTGACCTCCCTCTGTATCTGAAGGAGCCGAGCGTCGCAGCGCAGCCCGCCTTAGGGCGGACTCGGAAATCACTCCGGGCTGAGCGCCGAGGCTCCGCGCCGGGCAGCGTGCGGGGGCGGGGCCGCGCCGCTTCGTGGGTGGTCCTCGCCCACTCCCGGGAGGGCTGGTGCTGGGCGAGCCCGGAACCTGGAGGGCGTCCCCGGTGTCGCCTCGCCCTTCTTCCTGTGCGGCTGTTCAGACTAGGGGCTTGCGCTGGCGGGGTGGGGGGCACTTGGAGAGCGTCCCCTTGGTGTTGGGAGACAAAGAGTCACGAGGTTGCTCCCGCCCCCGGTGTTTCCTAAGCGAGCCTTCTGCTCCTGGGAGGGCGCCTTTCCAGCAGCCGCCTGGGGCTCGGGCCAATGTTTAGCTCCTAGCTGGTAACAGAACGGAAAGAAAAAAATACGATCATCACGAATGTAAAATTTCAGGGCCTTTTATTCTGGGAAAAGAGAGTAAAAAAGCACGCTTTCTTGCTTAACTTGCCTTTCTAGTTCCGGAGACCTGCGGTTGATACTTTACCTTCTTTTAGTAACACGGCCCCAGAACTGAGCGTCCCGGCTAGGGGCTGGGGTGAAAGGCTCTTCGGGTCCAGCAGCTTTGAGGAGCTCGTCTGGCAGAGGGCTCCCTTTGGAGGTCACAGGGGAAGGAAGACCAGGAATGATGTTTCAACCGAAGCTGCTCCGTGAAGTTGTATGTTTGTAATAACCCCGGTCCCAAACAGGCAAGCTTCACTTCAGTACGCAGGCCCCAAAGCGGGTAAATTGTACGACATTCTTGGGGACAGCAGAAATCAAGCTGGGGGGGGGGGTGCAGGTGTGGAAGGCAAATTTTGAAGGTTAGTGAAAAGCTGAGTGGGTGACAGTTAAAAAGCTACTCAGACCTGACAACTAGACAAGGTCCTGTGTCCAGAGGAGCAAAATTTGCAGAAATTCGGGTTCCCTGTTTTGTTTTGCTTTTGTTTTGAGAGAGGGTCTCACTAAGCTTCAGCCTCCTAAGTAGCTAGGATTACAGTCTGCACTGGTTGTCTATTGCTGGTATCACAAATTGCCACAAAATGAATGCTTTAAAACACATAAATTTGTTATCTTCCTCATCTGGAAGTCAGAAGCGCGAAATGGGTCTCGCGGAACTAAAATCAAGGTATAAGGAGTAGGGCTGTGTTCCTTCTGAGGCTCCCAGGAGAATTGGTTTTTCCAATTTCCCGAGCCATTTGCCTTCTTCGGTGCGTTCTTCTCGCATCCTCAGAACACACCACTGCGGTTTCTGGTCACCTCTCCCTTCGCTTTGGCCCTCCCACTTCCAGCACCTTTGTAATTAGATTGGACCCGCCTGGATTATGCAGGATAATTTACCTGTTTTAAGAACCTTAATTTAACCACATCTACAAAATCCTTTTTACCGTGTAAGGTGAGATATCCGTAGGTGCTGAGGTTAGGACATGAGCATTTTTGGGGTGACCGTTTAGCTTACCGCTAACCAGCTTTCCAGTCTCATGCCTGACTTGAGGTGAGGGCCTTGGGGAGGGAACAAAGGTTGGACAGGGCAGGAGTGAGCTGTGTTCTCTGGCTGTCTCTAATCATTACCTGACTTGGTGATTGCTTACTGTGTGCAAGCACATATTTACTGTGCAGCCTTTGTTGTTTTCTGACTTATCCTCATCCTGAAGACCAGATGTGTTAAAAGGGCCAGGGACCAATTTCAAAAAGAGGAACAGCACAACTTCTTCCAGCAGGACTGTTACTCAAAAAAGATAGGGAACATTTTGTAAACACCCCATTCCCTCGAAAATAAATTTATGGTAAATCGGGCATAGTGGCACATGCCTTATAATCCAGCACTTTAGGAGGCTGAGGCGGGAGTTTGAGCCCAGCCGGTTACGTAGCAAAATCCTGTCACAAAATATTTTCAAAAAGAGGATTGGAGCTGTGATTCAGTGTGAAGGCCTTGCGTTCAATCTCCAGTACCCACCAAAACAGCTTTTGATAATTAGATATTACAAATTGCCGTAGATAAAGCACTTCAAGGAGGAGTAAAGTAAGAGTTAATCACATTCTAAAGCTCAGGTTGGAAATTATGCTTCCAGAATCTTCTCACTCGGTGCCAGAAACCTGGTAAATCAATCAGTTGAACAAAAAATCATAGATTCCAGAAATATTTCTGAACTTTAGTACTCACTTTCTAATAAACAAAAAGCAAGATAGCGATAAAAGGGAAGAGTAATCACTCATAAAAGTAATACAAGAAATTAGATGAGTAGATTACTTACAGTATGAAAATAAGTAACAGATTCATATCACATAAACTGCAGTGCATCTAGAAAAGTAGAAGAGCTAAATATTGTAAAGTAAAACAAACCATAAAAAACTGAATATCAGGAGAGTCGGCGCTTTGCACGGCAAGTGGATCTGACTGGCTTCATCCGTGGCATTGTTGGTAAGTGGCACTGGTGACGGGAAAATTGAGTCTCTCGTGTGACTAGCCTTCGGGGCGATATGTAGTGATTCCATAGGCATAAGTCTGGGACTGAGCTCCTTGCCTGACTTGAAGTTCCTTGAAAGAAATAGCACTGAATTTGTTTGCTGATGAAGAGTCGCCTGTGCATGGTAAAAATACATCTTCAAATAAAATTATAGTATTATAAGTTTAAAAGAACATAAATATCAGAAACCAGGTGGGTGGCACACATCTATAATCCCAGCACTCTGGAGGCGCAGGCGGGAGGGTTGACGCAAATTTGAGGCCAGGCTGGACTACAGAGTGAGTTCAAGGCCAGCTTGAACTACACAGCGAAACTCTGTCTCAAAGAAACCAAAACCAAAACAAACCAAAAAAACCAGCCATAGCGGCACATACCCGTAATCCCAGCACTCTGGGAGATTGGGCAATTTGGCAAGACCCTGTCTTGCCAAATAAAGGACCCTGTCCTGCCAGTAAAGTTGAGCAACTCACAATTACTGTTTTTTCTTTGGAAACTAGGCTCCCTTGTACCCACAAGCCGCATGTGTACTGTAAAGCCTGGTCCCCTAGACACAGTGGATTGGGTCAAGCTAGGGCACTGTACAGTATTGGTTTCCTAGTGCTGCTATGACGAAATACCTTAAACTAGGTGGCTTAAAATGACAGAAATGTATTGCTTCAGCTATGGAGGCCAAAAGGCTGAACTCAAGGTGTTTTCAAGCCATGCTCCCCAAGACACAAGGGGAAAATCCGTCTGTGCCTCTTCCAGCATCTGATGTCCCCAGGCATTCTTTGGCTGGTGGCAGCATGACTGCATATACCCCAGCCTCACATAGCACCTTCCCTCTTCTTACTAGGACACCAGTCCTTGAATTAAGGGCTCACCCTACTCCAGTAGGTCCTCATCTTAAATGAGCATTAACTCCAAATAAGGTCACATTCTCAGTTGGGGAAAGTGGGGTGTTAGGGCTTCAACAAGTCTTTCTTGCAAGGATACCATTCAACTCGTAAGAGACGCTTAGCCTGAACCTAGCCGGGACCATGCTAGGCTCCTTCCCTGGGGCTTTGAAATTCAGAATGAGATTCTAGTCACAAAGGGAAGCTGAAGCTCAGCCCTCATACTCTGTGGACAAAATAGCAGTGAGAGTCTGTTTATAGGAAGAGAGAAGGAAACAAAGTGAAAATGGGGTGGGGTGCAGAGAGGAAGGACCCTCTCCTGGAAGCAGCTTTCCTTTGTGGTCCTGCAGCCATTCTCAGCTCCACTTGCCTTCCTGCTTTGGGTTCCCTGAGAAACCTGTGTGCGCACAATAAAGGTTGGTTTTGTCTGTTTTTAGTTTTGTATTGTTTTGTTTTTGTGGTGCTGAGGATTGAACTCAGGGCCTTG